GTCATCCTTGACAGTTTTCTTTTACACTTGGCATTATCTTTCCATCTCTTTATACCAAATGTCTTTAAAAAAATGTTTTTCAGGATGTAAACATGTTTCATTTCATATTGGTATAACTAACTACTTAAAATACTAGAAAAGACCATTATCTGGAACAAATCATAGCTCAAATCAGAGATAAACTGTTTTCTACCTGCTTAATTTCAATGTCCATCAAAATCATATCACGGTTTACGTGCCATACAAGCATCCATCATGCTGTAAGACTGTATTCATCAAGAACTTTTTGGAATAAAGTCAAACTTATTGTACTCCCAAAGTGGTTTTATATTATATTATAATGTTTCTGTTCCATTGAAATTTTATTATGTATTATGAGTCACATTCAAGCCTTGTTTAAGCATGCAAATTATCGAACAAAACATGAAAAGTCCAAGTTATTATCACTCTTACCTCTACGGCACACCTTTAATCTCATGCAAAATTGCTAACACACAAAGTGAAATCCGTACACATTTCTGAACTACTACAAACCTGTTTTAAGCTCAAAAACCTTTGACCCTGAGCTGCCTTTACACAAATCCTCACTGGGAAGTTCTAACTGTGCTGGGAGTTCACACGTGTGGGTAAGCCACTTCTCATTAAACTTCCTAGAACTCCAGGAACCCCTTTGACATGCATTTTCAAACGTAAACATAAACACTGACTAGCTTGTGAAACTGTATTTCATTCTCCCCACAGGAGAAAAAGGATCAACCACAAAAGGAAGCAGGCAATTGGTTTTTCTCTTATATGGTATATGCTTAATCCCATACAAACTAGTAGAATCTACTGCAATTAACCAGTTTGTGACTGGTTCTTTCGCTCAGTAGAAAACCATCAGAACTTCATTAGTAATGACACATCTTTAGATAACAGAGGTGAAGGAAGAAGAAACAGTGACAAAAAAGCCCAGGAAAGTGTTGAATATCTTTTCATCAACGGACAACAAGCACAGGTGAGCCATTAATAGTGGTAAAGATACGGGGGGGCGGGGGGATATCGATCAGCCTTTTCATCTTTTAGTCATTCTTAAGTAAGAAAGTCTTACCCTCTGTCCAGTTTTTGCCTTTATGAATATAACCAGACAACGTGCCATGTATTTAGCGACTTCCAGATCACCACCTCTGTTATTTCAGTTCTGACACAATGACAACCAACCCTAGCACTTAAAAAGCTGAAATTTTCTGGTCTGCAAGTAGACAAAACAGATGCTCTAAGCCACAGTATTCAATCTGTGGCCCACCTGAAAAATTCACCCTACCTGCAATCTACCCCTACCAGCTTTTTACCAGGAAGAATTTGGCTATTGAGATGCACGATGACGATGCAATACTGAGCACACTGAATTTATGGAAAACATCCAGCCACATTATCAGGAAATCTCTTGATATATGGTCCTTCCTGCCTTCAGAACAAGCTACGTGCTCCAATTGATCACAATGCTGGATCTATTTCCAAACTGAGTATCTGTAATAAATTCTGATTTATAGCATGAAATTAGAACTATAATATAGGATGACTTAGTAAATAGAGAAGCACAGTTTTTAAACCTATTAGCTAAATATCACAGGCACCTGTAACAGCACAGAAAAGTGACTGTTATGGTTCTTCTGTCAGGTGGCCGAGAGACATTATTGGTAAGCACCACAAATCACCTGTGAAAACTTCCAGATTTATCTGCAAAGCACAGTCTGTATCAGGAGGCCATACAGACACACTGCAGTGGGCAACAGGCACACAGAACCATTGTGTTTTGTTCAGACCATTATTCTTCTAAATTAGGAACATCCACATGAAAGCAAAGAAGTTTCTCATCTTTGGGGAGGAAAAAGCAGCAGGTCAGATGGAGTTATGCTTCGGGCTGAGTATAAAACCTTACGACTGTCTGTGACACTAAACTAAAGTACTGATTTAACAGACATGGGTATGAACGCATCTGTCTTACAATCCTTAAAAACTACTTGTATAAATATTTGTGTAATTAATCCAACCTCAAAACCATTCAGAAATTTTTACTTATACAACACAGTGAAATTTCCAGTGTACAAGAAGGGCATGATCAAACTTCAGTAACATTTCAAACGCAATTCAGAGTCGGATATCCTGTAGGATTAGTTTTAATCTACATTTTTTCACTTACTCCAACATCGGAACAGTTAGTTCTCGTTTGCTCATTTTCTTCCTATACCTATCAATGTGCTCTGCACTTCGTAAACAATTAAAATTTTCTGTGGGGTTTTTTGTTTGTTTTTTTTTTTTACTATTGGCCAGCAAGACAGCAGGTTTACCAGAACAAACATACGTGTATTTTAAGGCTTATATTAGTATGACTATAAAAGCATGTTTTAATCGCTCATCATTTATACAGAAGATAACCTTAACCAAGCAAATATTAATCTTACAAAAAGTAGTTTTCTCATTATTACGCTCCCTTTGTACTCTCTGACTCCCCCCACACTCTCTGGGGTATATATTCTGAAATTTCACGCATACCATAAAGCATCTGTGGAATGTTACAGTATAATTGTTTAGAGAAACATTTAATGGATGAGTAAGCATCAAGAGGCCATGGCTAAGGGAAAAGAAAAGTTAAAATGCTAGAAGCATTTTGTATTGAATGATCTTCTCAGCATGAGGACAGAGGATGGTCATTTGATCCAAAAATCTGGTATTGACTCAAGCGATATAAAACCAGCAGCCAGCATGGAGGCATATGAAGCCATCCAGCCACCTAACAAAACATCTGCTGCCACCCACCTCTTCCAAACCGGACTTGAGTCATTGTCCAGTAAAGCAATCAAATGCTCTAGGACATTATTTGATTAATAACAGGAATATTATGATAGGGGATTACATGATCCTGACAATTGGCTATTTTTTTTTAATTGGTTGCTTGGTCTCCCAATTTACAGCAGAAATCATTTGCATGTGCATGATACAGAAACGCAACAGAAGTAACTGGAAAGAAAGCTGGGCACTGAGTACAGAGACAGCTAAAAAAAGCTGAACATTATTTCACTACAAGAAACTGCTGGAGACAATATGCTGTAAATTAAAGCTCATTTTCCTGAATTCCCTGAAGGACTGCTCCTCCCAGAGATTCTACAAATCCATTAGCAAAGGCCCATCATTATAGTTTTCTTGGGGCTTATTTACTGAAGAGGGTTTAAAAAAGCACATCCAAAACAAAATGTACGGTGTATCGGGGCAGGGCAGTGGGACAAATCAGACCTAACCTTACATAATTGATTTGTAACCTGATTAGTAGAGAACAGCTGACATGGTTTTCACTCCCAAATCCTCCTCCTCCTCCCCAGACTTTTTTTAAATCAAGGAAAAGCAAAATAATTGCCTCCCTACCTGAATTCCTGATCTGAAGAACGTATACTGAGGCAGGAGAGGTGCCATATGCTGACATGTGCTGCTCTGGAAATCAAGCAGTTCTTTTAGCACCAGAGTCAGAAACGCCAGGCTTCCTGCAGACCGGTGGCACAGCTGAAGCTTGTCTGACAATTTGGCACCTAAAACCTCTGCCCAATAGGATCCTGTGGTGCTCAACAACATACAAAATGCAGCTGGTGCCGTACGATCTCTCCTAGCTTTATACTTCCACTGAATTTTCAGAAACCTAGTGTCTTAGAGGCACTTCTATTTCTGCATTAAATTTGGTAGAGAACAGGTAACAAGTTAAAAAAAAAATGATTAGGAACACATAAATAGTGTGATTTGATAAATCTCACGGACAAGTGGCACAAGTTCTGCTATGCAGCCTTCTAGTTCCAAACCCAATATGTTTTCTAAAATTCCTCATCTATGTGTAAAATGTGTGAATCTAAATCATATGTAAAAATAACAGATTGCACAGGCTGCTTGATGTTTATCATGTTGATCCAGATGTTGCTGTCAGATAAATTCACTGTTTTAATTTTTTTTTTTCTATTGCCATACTCAAGGCAAATCCAAATACTCCATGGGTAACTTTATTTGTAACTATTTCCACTTGGTGAATTATAGAGAACCATAACATCACTGGTGATTTCAAAATGCGGTCTACAGATTACTTCTTGTGTTACAATGACTATACCAGAGCTTGTAAGTATGTCTTTGGGGGTGAGGGTAATAGGGAGCACAACACAGCTTACAATGAAGTCTAACAAACAAGACTATGTTAATCTTTTCAGCCAGTTAAATCCAAGAAAATCAAAAGCAAATGTCTTCCTACCATAACATCACAAAACACAACCCCAAATAGTTGCATCTTAATGCCTGCTAGGATGTTGTCTGCTAACTATCCATTAGCTTTCTTATAATACTCAGTACACATTCCTCCACAAGCTGGACTGATTTCTCCCACAGTTTAACTTGTTTTTGCCAGAGTCTCTTTTAGTTCAGCATTGGCTGCCTGCCTAACGAAACAACCTTTCTCTATGCCAAGACTGTCATCTTCAGTTGCACAAGACGCATCTTACTTACAAACATGTACAATGAGCCCGATGTTTAATGCTCAAAGAACTGCTATTTTAAAATAATGTCTAGCAAAACTTAAGCAGATAGAGAAGCGGTCAGTACCTAACCCTCAGGAGGGGAGGGAAATCATTCTCAAGAAGGATTTTTTTTTCCCTTTTTTGTATTTAAATACGACTTTTAAAAGAAAAAACTAAACTAATTATTAGAACATGAAAGTGCATGCATTTAACCACAGACAGCAGTGAGAAATGTAGGGCTCACTCGAAATCTGAATTTGGAAGCTTTGTTCTCACTCGGCGTGAAGTCACCATTACATAATGATCATATGCACCATAAACTTGTCTCTTACTGAAAAGACTGCCCTTTAAATATAACTTACTAAGGTTATCAGATTCTTATCAAGTATTGCTAACGACTAAAAAAATCCATCTAAAGAAACGTCTTGCCCTATTTTTCTGCTGTAATTTCGGTCACAGCTGAAACAAGAATACCTGAGTAAGAAGCTGTTCTTCAGTCAGATTATTGATCCAACGAGTATACCGTTCAGTAGACTCCAGTGGCTCTCTTCTGACTTGGCAACCAATAATCTAAAGCAAAATGAGATAAATCACAGTGTAAACGGCTCTACACCCACATGGCAACGAGACTATAAAATAAGCATTCAAAACATGGGAACTCCAAGAATTAAGATTATCTACATAGTACTTACTAGTCCCCTTCTATGTTCATAATATAATATAGTCTAATATAATTCGACACAGTTGCTCTGCTCAAATGTTAAATAGTTACAGATTTTCAAAGGTCTCTAGAAAACTAACATTGAGAAGGGTCTTTCCAATAGCTTTAGTCTTGGGAACATTTGAACCATTTTGGCTGACATTTTCAAAGGAAAGCCATCTAAAGGCAGACATCTAGAATGTAAAATTTCAATCAAAATAGTTGAAGTTTGGGAAACAAAAACTAGAACTCTGATAACACCAGACAATCACACCAACGGTGCCATCATCTGTAATACCACAAATTACTTATAATTCATATAAAACAAGGAAAAAAAAATAATCTGCGTTCTGATTTGTCTCATTCATGGCAGAACGAGCAGACACTCCATTTTGATTTTTTCACCGAAGTACTAGGTATCAGAAGGATTTTATATTATCTGTACCTGCTTAGACACATACTAACGCAACTCCATACAAACACTAAACTGTTTACTCTGCGTCTCTCTGGTTAGTGAAGCAGCAGCCCAGGAGAATCCTAGAGTGGAACAGAACCCTGCTGTTTACTACTCTCAGTGGTCTGCAGTCTACCCTAAACCTTTAGGGTACTACAGGACTTAATCATACAAGCCAAGTGAGCTGATACTGTTTTATACCAACTACTACACTCCTGTCATACTACTATTTCTCTTCTAGATTTTGTTTGGCACTTCCTGTTGAGGATGTGTTCCTTCATTGAGAATTAACATCAAAGTGGGGTATCAGCATTTCTGAACAGCACTTTCATAGAATGGTTAGGGTTGGATAATTTCAGATAATCAAGTGCTGTTCAAGAACAGTGTGGAAGACTCATTTGGTTTATTTTCCAAGCTAAGCACTCATAAGGAACATAAGTTTATACACTGAGAACACCAAGTTTAAATCTTTCAGGTATCTCTGTTTACAGAGCTTTAAACCCCACACAGATGTAGGCAGCCAGGCTAGAATTCCACACGTGCAGTTATGAACACTTTTGATGTGGGAGCACAAACACCATGAAGAGATCTTGCTGGGGACTGTAGGCAATGAAACATCACAATTTAGACTATGATTAAATACAATCAAAACAACAAACACGAAAAACGAAGTCACGATTTGCTCATTCCATAAGAATAAAATGGAATGTCTCTGAACTATGAAATTTTTCCTCAATGACAACTACTAATCCTACAGACAACTGCAATACTTATCCTAATTTTCTCCCGAATTACAGCTAAATAATACTAAGACATTTTCAGAAGTTTAATCCCAAATTCTTTTAATTGAGTATCAATTAGAAGAGGTTACAGATACATTTTCAAATGGGGCACTCCACACATATAAAAACTTCACAGAAGTTGCATGAGATGTACATATATGCTGTCTGTGAGGATGATTTTTATTTAATAATAGACTTATTTACAGAACTCTTGCTAGTATTCATTTACCAAGATAGACTATCTCCTCTTGAATATCCTAGAATTTTATAATTTACAAAGATACTCTACAAAACTATGCATGAAAGTCTAAATGGAAAAATCACAAAGCACTTTTTTCTTAGAAGGTGTTCTATAACAATACAACATAGAAACTTAGTTTCTTCATTCAAATAGTCACAGTCTAAGCTGAACAAATACAGAATCACAAACAGCTTTCACAAGGTAAGAGCTAAAAAGGAGAATCACAAATTTGCAGGAGAATCACAAATTTGCTTTTCTGAAAACTTGGTTTTCAATTAGTGCCAAGCAGTAAGTGCAGTCATCTTTTTCTATGCAACTTGAAATTTAAATGAGAAGCAGAGGACAGAGTTTCATATTTTTATATTTATTTCTGACCAGTCTGACCAGACCATTTTCATAAATGCTGTCAATAGTTTAAGTAATCTAAAAAAAAAAAAAAAAGTTGAATCCAGGTGCTCAGCAGAAGGACTGTAATTCCCTAAAGTCCAAAGCACAACTGGTTCAAATCTCAACTCCTTATGCTTCCAGAGAAAACTGAAAGGGTTTGATCAATTATCTGTGCATACACTCAAGGAGAGGTGAAGGCAGACAGAATAACTGTTATTAAATTGGATCCTGACAGTTCTTTTCTATATCATACATCACTTTTTGTATTTTCTAGAGTTTGATTTAGATTCTTAGCCAAAATTTCCTCCTTTTTTCATATAGCCACACAGATAATTCCATTGCATGCTCCAACTTACTTTTCTGGTTTTGGCTTGTAACAATGATTCTGCACTTACTACATGGAGCTCTTAAAATACTCATCAAACAAACAAGTTATTTAGGAATTACTGTTATTGCAGTCAGGTAAATCTAGGACAGAAAAAACAATGGGTTGCAGTGAATTTCACCATAATTTGGAGTAGAATCCTTGGAAGAGTAACTTTCCAAATTACTCCATCAACTGACATGCCTAACAGCAAGACAGTGAGAGGATAATAATCAACAGCCTTATATACAAACACGCTAACCAAATAAAACCCCTAGGTTTTAAAAAAAGTTCTTTTGTACACAGCAATTTTTTTTCTACAGCACAGCTCATCCTAACATTCAGAACAATCATAAAACCAGTATAAGATATTAATCTAGAAAAATATAAAAAGAAATACTGCAGAAAGTAATAGCATTGGCTTTTAAGAGTCAGATGTTAGAGTAACTCAATGTTTCAAAAATCAAATTACATTTTTTACCTAGTCCAATGAAAACTTACATTAATCACTAAGGTAACCCTTCAATTTTTGCTACTCACAGCACACTAAACACCTAAATGTTCACAGCATTGAGCCTAAACGTGGTCTTACTAGAACTGATGGCAAAGGGTTTGAACAACAAGCTATGTCTAGAGCTATGTATATGTATATAAAGCTATGGATTTCACTTCCATGACTAAACAGGACAAACTGATTACTCTTGGTCCTCGAATTTTCAAAATAAGAGTCCAAAAACCTCCATTCTGTAATCATTAACAAAGCTGGAAGCAAGTGTTATGATGACCTACTCCAATATCAATGAACAGTAAAAAGGAAGAACAGTAAAAACAATGCTGAGAATTAATGTGAGAAAGAAAAAGCTGCTTGCTGGAAAAAAATGAAGACAATTCAAAATGTAACTTAGAAAAACACAATTCTCTGAGACTCCACATGCTTACTAACGTCCTCGTTTCTCTAAATGATATTTCATATGTCATACCTGCTCCCCCATACCTTTGTTTTTTCTTACTCTTTTCTAGTTTGAGCTCTAGAAGCCAATGAAATGGCTCCAATGAAGTTAACATAACGATGAGGTTAAGATTTCACTCTGGTTTCTTCTTCCTTATACACTGAATAGGATCATTATCTAAGACAATAAAACATCGTAATACATAATTAGCAATCCTGTACTTGTTTTGTATATGTAATTAAAGGAAGACAGAAAGAAAAGAGGGATTAATATACTTAAAACGTTACTAAAATGCCCTCCATAGCAGTAGCTTTAAGTTTGCTTTTTCTTAAAATTACCTAAACGGGATATCTACACACAACACAAAAGTATTTCTCTTCCAGAAGGCCACCTAGTTATTCCTAAAAATCAATTCTTTCACAAGCAAACTCAATTGCTGTCTTCTCCTCACCCAAAAAAAACCGACAAGCTGACAATTCCTTTCTTTAAAAGCAAAGGAACAAAGAAGCCATAGTTGGTGTTTTTGGTGGCCTTTCATAAGATTTCCATGGATGTACCAAACCCATCAGCAGGGCACATAAAAGCAAGGATCTCCCTCCTGCAGAAAATGACATTGTAAAACATCATTTAACCACATTCTTTAACTATAATCATATCACAGCAAAATACACTTAACAATATAAACGCATGTCATTGAGAACAGCTGCGTTTCGATCTTGCAACACAGCAGAAAAATAACTATAAATGCATAACCAAGTTAGCATGTTGTAAGAAGTGAGATGTTCACACTTCCCTCTACCCTAACACAACAGTGAACTGTTTTGCACAGCACACAGACTTCCTGCTTGCTTTGCATTTTCAGAACCACTACCACTCTACTGCTTTTAGCATCATCTGTTTTACAGACAAATCTTAAAATTGTCCCTATGCAATCAAATTTCTTTCTAGATCTTCAGCCAAAAAAATTCCACTTCTTTCTGCTCTTTAGCTGTACCATTCCTCTCCCATTGGGACTCTGGGATTCTTGACTTCATGGTTGCAAGATAAACACCACCAAGATACAGTAACTCAACCTGAGCCTTTGATACCGCTTCCCTAAAGCACAGCTCGCTTAACCAGCTTCCTTCATCTGATCAAAATCAGGATTATTTGGAGCACAAACAGCTTCCTCTAGTTCCCCTGTGTAAGGTGTGGCATCAGAAGCAATTGCACACTGTTTCCCATTTCCTCCACATTTCACAGAGCTTTTACATTCACTTCACTGAATAATTCCTAACAGCTTTTAAATTGCAGTGAAACATTTTTCACTGTCGCTTCTTTCATAAGTTTTAAAATACTGCAATAAAAAACCTTTCTGGACTGTTTCACACCCATTCAGACTTCCAGAAAGTACAAGAAACTCTCCATATTAGAAATATTCTTTCCAATATTTTGAGTATCCACTTTTATATAAAAATGGAGCTCATCCAAGTTTCACCTTTTGAGCTAATTAGACAAGATTATTTTTATTATTACAAACACTAACTGTATACTGGCATATACCTGTACCTAGATTAAACTATGCAATATATACAACAAATAAAATGCTCTTCATATTCCAACCAGAAACTTGTTGTAATACAGTATTAATATAACTTGTATACGCATCAGTAAACATGAACCATAAACAAAAGAGTTTTGTGACTCACAGCA